GGGTAGCTGCTTTTTTGTCTAACCGCTATCCAAACAACCTTTCTGGCATGGTAGGACCTGCAGGAACATAAGTTCCAGCCAGTATAGCTTGTTGGGTCATTGTGGTGTTCAAGCCCGACCACCACGTCAAGGTAGCAGCTTTCGGTCGGGAAGCTGTGCAGTACTCTGGTGCTGGTTTTCCAATGGTTCTCTAACCGATATTAGCTCATGATGAAATCTTGTAACTAATCAAATCAAACCCTTGCAAAAACCAACACTTGAATATTACTAATTTGTCATTGAATAGGTCTCAGTACACCATCCAATGTACGTGGTGAACATAATCACTGCGTACAAATTGTTTACAAAACCACAATTAAAACAGAAAAAATTGTATGAACTTCATTACAAATTATTTAAATTAAACTCAGCCTGTTAAGAAAATCAAAACAAGATTTTTCTGAACGTTTCGCTATGTAAACCACAGCTTCTTCAGCAGATATATTCGGATTTTTATTAATTATCAAGATCATCAGAAAACAGATCTTGTTTTGATTTTCTTAACACGCTGGGATTAATTTGAATTATTTATAATGAATCAATCTGATGTCAAATCGAGAATCAGGAAGGCGAGGAACACATTCATCAACCTGAAACCAATCTGGAAATCTTCGTCACTCAGCTTGCATCAACAACAAAATTCGGATTTTCAATACAAACCTCAAGTCAGTTAGTTCTTCTATACGGATCAAAAACTTGGCCATTGGGTCACAAAGAATATTTCCAACAGCCAGTTGCAGACCTTTATCAACAACTGTCTTCGCTGGCTGTATACTGAAGATCAGATGGCCGGAAAGAACCACCAACAAGAAACTATGGGAACAAACAAACAAAACAAGAACCAATCACCCATCGAATATGCAGGAGAAAGTGGAGGTGGATTGGACACTCGCTGAGGAGGCCGCTGGGTGACATCGCTCGTCAGGCCAGTGCTCGAGTGGAACCAGAAAAGGAAGCGGTGAGTGGGACGTCTGAGGAGGATGACATGGAGGAGATCGTGTGAAGAGGAGTTGAAACAGTATGGACTAACATGGATGGAGGTGAAAAGTACAGCAGAAGACAGAAGCAAGTGGAGACGTGTAGTTGAAGCCTTATGTTGCACTAGGAACCCGAGGGAACAATAATAATAATAATAATCTGACTTGGCGCTCAAATTATTCCAAGAAGTTCGTAACACCTACGGTCTCAAAACTTATTGTATAAACTTCTTTTTACATATGTACATATATAGATATATATGAATAACCTTTGTGACTAATGAATCAATAATATTTTATTGTTTATTAATTATACATGCATTGATTGTGTCATCTGATCTGTTTGTGTTATTGTTTTTTGTCTGTTTTGTTTTTTCTGCATTTTTATACATGTGATAGCCTCCATTGTATGTGTACTACATACATGTGAATGTACACATGTATCAGTAATAGTTTTGAGTTAATTGCTAAAAGGTTGTATGATATCCGAGGTCAACCTCCTGAAATAATGCGGTGCTGATGGGTAACTTATAGCGTCATCCACTGTACTCAGCATAACGAACACAAGATTTACACTTTCCATACTAATGTCGAGTTAGCGAGTACACTCTATGGAGGTTCAGAGGCTTGGCTCACACGTCTTGAAAAGTATTTCTAACAAGCTACCACAAGGGGGGACTTTATCAACAGCTGCCTTTTCTGGCTCCATACTTAAAATCAGATAGCCAGCTGGAGAAGATTGACAAAAAGGAACTCTGGCGACTTATTATTATTACTCCCTTAGGCTCCTAGTGGAACATAGGGTTTCAACAACACACCTCGACTTTGTCCTGTTTGATCCTGTCCTCCTCATCTTGGTTCACAAATGACCATAATCTTTCATCTCCTACTCCGAATCACACGATCTCCTCCTTGGTCACTCTGGGTCATTTGGATCCCATTCAAGGGATGGCTTGCATTGAACTCGATGTCATTCGATGGCCTCTCCGACGTATGCTGGATCCATCCATCCATCCATCTCCATTTTCTCCTACATATATTTGTTGAGTGATCGGATCCTTGTTGGTTGGTTTGTTCCACTGCAGAGTTTCTTGTTGCTAATTCTTTCTGGCCGGCTGGCTGGCTGGCAATTTGATCTTCAGTATGAAGCCAGCCAGCGAAGGTGTCATCTGTTGATAAAAGTCTGCAACAGCCTGTTGGAAATGCTTTACGTGACGTACTGGCCAAGTTTCTGACCAGTATAGAAGAACTGACTGTCTGACGTAACATTTATGTTGAACATCCGAGTCTTTTTGTTTATGCTGAGTTTCATGATGATGAAGGCATGTCTCACCATGCCTTTCCGATTCTAGCTGCTTTTGGAATCTTCATCCATTCCGCCACCTGTGGTTAAAACCTTGCTTCCTAGCCGGATAAGTGGAGGAATTAATCTTTGTCAAATCTCTCCCGTTGATGGTAATTGTTGCTTGCTGCTGTTAGTTAGTTGGTTATCTTCATCACCTCCGTCTTCTTTACGTTCACCTAGAAACCTGTCCTGACTGGAGGCTTCTTCAGTCCCTCTATTGGTTTTCGCCTGTAGGTCTTTTAGTTTGTGTGACATTAGGCATAAATCATCCATGGGGGAATTTCAGATCTTCTATAGTCTTCATATCTGTTGCCACAGCGTATCCCTGAATTTCTAACTCCCCACTCTGGCGACTATATAACCAAAAACGTTGACGCTAAATTATTATTATTATTGTTTCCTTTAATTCCTAGAGGAACATAGGGCTTCAGCCGTGCGTCTCCACTGCGTTTGGTTCTCCGCTGGAGTCTTCACCTGGCTCCAAGTCTGCCCACACGTTTGCATCTCCTCTTCACATCACCTCCTCCAAGTCACCCTTGCACTGACGACCAACTCACCGCTTCCCTTTCGGGTTCCACTTGAGCGATGGCTTGTCTAGTGATGTCACTTGATGGATTGTTTCCTCAGAGTATGGCCAGCCAATCCATCTCCATTTGTTCCTGCCTATTTGTTTCACAATCGGTTCCTGCTGTGTTGGTTCGCTCCCAAAGATCCTTGTTGCTGATCTTTTCTGGCCATCTGATCTTGAGCGAAGTATTGAGCGAAGACAGCTGTTAATGAAGGTCTGTAGTTTGTTCAAAATTTACCAATAAAATTTACTTATCCATAAGAGGAGAATCTCATACACAATTAGTCATAATTCAGGTTAGGGAAACATTCAATACCTATACAAGTAAACTAGAGGGTGTAAGGATAGATAAAAGTAACCAATCACGACGTTCAAAGTCACCACCCGGAGAGATGACTATAATAAACTCATGAAGAGAAATTTCAAAGCTCAATACAACAAATTCAAGTATGCGTACTGTCCAAATGTGTTGCTTAATAGTGTAAGGGGAATGGAAGTGTAGTGGACCAAGCGATTAAGGATGTTCATATGCACAATTACATGGGACAGAACAAATACTAACATGTATGTATGTGTATATATGGCATTCAGTCCACTTAAGTTAGTATACACAAAAAATGAAGTTATTTAAAAAGTTATAATAGTCGCAAAATACTCAAAATATAGACGTACAAAATGATAGGGATGAAATTGTCTTTTTCTTGAGTATGCCAATCCTCGACTACACATTAGAGATGCCAACCGCCGGAGAGCACTCGGGTAGAGAAAAGTGGATTGGAGCGAAGTAAGTATCCTAATATGGATGTGTCAATCGGTACGAGGCAGAGTTGGTCGGCAGATGTGATAGGCGAGCAGCTGGAGAGGGAGGAAAGAAGATTCGTCCGTGCTGTGTGCGGTCCAAGGTTGTATGTATCCTTGTTCAGTCTCACATAACAACCACGATTTTCTTTGAATTCCTTATATTTTTTACTATTTTTCGGTGAACGGTATAATTTGATATGTTTTTCGGCCATCACAGAAGCTTCACAAGTAAGCCAGCCATCCATCCAGCTCAGAGAACACAACTACATCACGATGTCAGTTCGTGTGATATACTTGACTATCTGTCCACATTCCACTTCATTATGTTAATAATAATAATAATAATTTGCTTTACTCAAGAAACAGTACTAGTGGTACAGTGTGGACTTTTCAGCACATATCTACAATATTGGCATCTAATTTAATCAAACATTTAAGAGGAGTATTTCAAAAAAATAAATATAAAAACAACAACAGCAAAAAAACACAAAAGAAAATTGAAAAAAATGCAAAAAATACCAAGAAATAGAAAGGAAAATAAACAACATAATAAATAATATCTCAGTATTGGGTAGTGGAAGCTATGATATGATTAAGCATGGTGACAGTAAAGCTATAGTCATACAAGAAGTTATGAAATGATATTTAAGAATGTTTATCGCCAAGATGATCAGTTAATTTGATTGAAACAACTCTAAACAATCATAAAATAACATTTCAGGGTTGTTATGTTTTTTATTGTCAGGTCTAATGTGGTGTTTGAGGTGGTAGTGTGAGTAGTCCTGCGTAATACAAAATTTTAAGATGGTGATAATGGCGTTCACAACCAAGATTGTCAGTTAATATTGCCGAAAAAAAACACACACAAAAACTAATAATTACATGATGGTTAATGACAGGACAATTTTGTAATACTCATAGTGCTAATATAGTCGAAACCAGTAGACACACAATAGAAGGAATACAGTAAAGTATAAAAAGTAAGTCAATGGTAATAATACAGGTAGCTAAGTATGTTTAAGAAGGAGTTCACTTTAGAATACAAAATAAGAGAGAAATGAAAGAGCCTAAAATTATGATTATTAACAACAAAGCAAGTCATAGGTTTCGCGCTTAACTTTGTCTCTGTCACTTAGAACACGGGCCAAGTATGGTATCCTTTTGTTCTCTTTGTGTGTTGTGTGTATTTCACTTGAGAGATTAAACATTGTGTTTAACCATCCATCATCTTTGTGTGTTACCTGTTTTTTTTCCATCCCTTCTTCAACAGGTTGGCATTGCATTATTTCGTCCAGTCAGTGTACATGAAAAAATTAAATTGGTAAAATTATTAAAACAATCAGAAATAAAGAAAAAGGTGAATTTAGTGAAGAAGTCAAAATGTAAAAAGCATAAATCCCTTACAACATCATTTGGTATGAAATCAGCAAAAGTTGGTGGACGTCCAGATAAAAAAATTGCCATTCAACGGTATGTGTTTTATAATATACAACAGATAGTCTGTTACAATTCTTTTTTTGTTTTTTTTGGCCCTTTGAACTTAATCCTAACTGATTTGAGCGACTCAGGGATTGAATTTTTGCAATCAGGGAATAGTAGTCTTGTTGACTTAGAATATGCAGATGATATAGTTCTCCCTGCTAGGTGAAGACAGTGACAAAATAGAGCACAGAGTTTTCCGAACACCCTGGTCATAAAGCCATCCTCAAATGTGTTTTGGCATGCGATTCGCTCCCGCTTTCAAATGTAAGATGATGCCTAAGGAGTGGACTACATCGACTCACTAGAAGCTGACTTATAGGTTGGGGGCGAAGAGGTAGAGCATGTATTAACCATTTCATTTATTTGGTTGAGAAGTTGCATCAGTCAGCACAAACAGGTTGATCGCTGATGAAATCTCAATACGGATACAGAATCCTCATTTGGCATATGACAACTTACATCTTGTCTGGCTTAGTAGACGTGATATCCGGCTAGCTGTCGGCCAAAGGACGTGTGTACTGCACAGCAGAAGTTCGCTCCATCCTTATTTATGGCTGTGAGTGAGATATAGCCATCGAAATTGGAAGACATTAAAAGGCTGACTAGCTGTCTTTGATCATAGGTGTCTGCTTTCTATCTCCCATGGTAAGTGGTAGGCGTATTGAGGTGAGTAATATTGTAGTTAGGCATCGGTTGAGTGTTAGGTTAGGAGTGGAAATCAACCGACGAGGTTGTGAAGTTACACCAATTGAGTGAGACGGTTAAGACGTATGTTACGCATGCATGCCTAGCCATCGATCAGATTCCTCGACGGGAAATGTAAGGTGACATAGGATTGATGAGTTAGGAAAAGAGCTAGCTAGTGTTTTGTCGGACCGAAACATGGCTTCATGAGTCAATGAAATCCACAACAGTTCATTTAAGTCAGTCAGTCAGCTAGCCGCATTGGCAGGTGTAGACTGTCCTCCTGTTTGGGGTCCTGAGGATGATAAAAACCAATGGAGGCACGCGACAATCGGTGATATGGCTCAAGATATTCGTTTTCAATTGCTGGGTGGTGTGAATGCATTCACTTTTTGTGATTTATCATATCCAATAAGATTTTATTGTTCTTCTTTCATATTTTTACTCTTCTTGCCTAACATTTCTGTGTTTTATCTTGCTTTTTATGGTGCATGGAGGTAGTGTGACAATTCAAACTGAAGCACATCTGTGCAAAGTTTTACGTTTTAACCAATCAATCAGTCACTTTTTGTATGTCTCTTGTTGACTGGGAGATACGGTATCTGTTGATAGGTGTCGGCTTCTAGTGTGTAACGGAGTAACTGTCTGTCTGGAAAATTCCTCTTGTGAACAGTCTAACCACAGTATATATTTATGGTTATTTGGATGTTACAACTTACTTTGTAATTATTTCGCTCTTTTCTTCCAGGCTGTATATTTTTGTACTGACACTTGGATATCATATTTTCACTTGATCCTTATTAATTGTCTCTGTCACTGTTTAGTCTCTGGTTGTGTGGTGGTGTTATTGGTAGTGTGTTGCTTTACAGAACGCGATTTTCTTTGAGTGAATCAGGGTGATTCTAACCATGAACTAACTGTCTGTGCGACGCATTGGTGTGTTATTCTTGTGAACAGCCTTTTTTGATCCCACATTGTTGTAAAGATTTAACTTGATTCCTAGGCACCCTTATTATAATAGTTGAATTTGATAGGCAACAGGTTTGATCACAACTTGAAATCAGTTATATAATCGATAAAACACAAAATAACTGAGCAAGGAATATCCTTTTTTATAAATTCCTCCCGTTCTGGCTCTACAATGATATATACATGTGTGTTTATATACACAGAATATTACAGAATAGTAGTCAATATCAATATTAGTATTTTTTTAAATAATATCGATTTGTTAAGTAAGATCACAATGTAATCACAACAGTTCATTAAAGATGCTTAAATTATGATAATAATAATAATAAAGATATAATAGCAAATAGAATGTCAACTAAAATTGAGGAACTTTTGTCAAAAATTGAGCATCATTCGAACTTAGATGGCCAAAGTAAAGACAATCTCTGAACCAACTTCTTTTGGACGCACACATTAGGCTTCTTAATATGGATCCCAACAACCAGCCTCAGCGATATTCAGTAATCGAACTCTTAAGGCGAATTTGAGATTTGTTGGTATGCGGTAAATGACTTTGAAAGTGGCTTCGTTGACATCAACGTTGTGTTCTCTATCGACAAGATGAGATAGATTAGCGCTACAAATAGATTTCGTTAGTCCTTTACTTAATCACGCAGTAAAAGATAAGCTGCCTAATTTCGCCTCTTCTATGTGTATCTACCGATTTAACCGCTCCTGTGGAGCTAGTTACGTAGGCCGTATAATTAGGCATGTTTCTCGTTGGATTTTCAAACATCACCCTGCATAGTGGTTAAGTAAAAAACAAACAAAGTCTATTTGTAGCGCTATTCTATCTCATCTTAAGGATACACAACACAAGATTGATGTCAACGAGGCCGCTTTCAAAGTCATTTACCGGATACCGACAAATCTCAACTTCGCCTTAAGAGTTCGGTTACTGAATATTACTATGGCTGTTGGGATCCACATTAAGAAGCCTAATTTGTGCATCCAAAAGAAGTTAGTTCAGTCATTATCATTACTTTGGCCATCTAAGTTCGAATGATCCTCAATTTTTGTGAAAATTTCCCTAATTTTACTTGATATTCTGTTTGCTATTGTATCTTTATTATTATTATAATTTAAGCATCTTTAATGAACTGTAATTCCATTGTGATCTTACTTAACAAATCGATATTATTTAAAAAACACTAATATTGTTATTGACTAGTATTCTAGAATATTCTATGTATATTAACATATGTATATATCATTGTAGAGCCAGAACAGGAGGAATTTATCGAAAAGCATATTCTTTGCTCAGTTATTTTGTGTTTTAATAAAAAGTTAATCAGGTGACGAGAAAGTTCAAATTGCAAGTCAATAAAAAATGGTGAGTAGAGGTGTAAATCGCCTACCAGTCAGTCATGAAGATGTTTACCAGGAGACACAATTCTATCATTCATGGAGGGAGCATTCAAACTAGTTCATTTTACGCTAAAACCTGCGCTGAAGGTGTTGTCTAGGGTGAAGATGGGATGACAAAAGCTTCGCAATTAGACCAACTGGCTTTTTCAGAGAACAAAACTAATTGCAAATCATCCATCTGACATACAAATCTCTATGAAACCAGATCCTGATGATTCAATGGTCTATGTGAATTTCAAATAGGTACTGTGTATTTATTTTATTTGGTGGCTAGTAGTAGAAATCAGTGAGGACGCATTTCATCCTGTCTGGGAGTCATCAACCAGGTGTTTCTACATATATTCAATGAATGCTTGTGTGCCTAAAGATAAGTTGTGAATAGAAGACTCACAGCGTTTTATTCTCTATAGAAAATTACAATGCTTCTGAAAGCAGATAATCTAAATATGTATTTCAATGTAACGTGAAAGCTGATTGTATTATTTTCCCCTTGCATTCCGAGTGGAACATACAGCTTGAACAGCACATCTCTAGTATGCTGTTGATGAGCCCGTCCATCTGGAATTTAGTGTTCACTTCGATTTGGTTAGCGAAAACTCTACAGGTTGATTTGAATTATGTTCATCTACTCATTTCAACCAATCAGAAGTGATAATCAGATGTTCATCGATATTGGCTTTCTGTTTTTGGAAGTGTTTGGGCGGTTGTTACTTCCGGCTGACCACTTTGTGGAAGTTTATTGATTCTTCGGGTAAATGAAACAGAAAGAGGGTTAGTGTTGCATGACCGCAGAGCCCAGGGACAACTACTTGATGCTAGCCGATCACACACAGCCTGTATGAACTTGTTTCTGGGATTGGCTCCGTATTAGTAAACTTAACGATAGTTACAGACCACCGTAGGGTAAGTTGGAATATACAATTGTTAGGGTCGATCTTTTCTAACCCCCCCTCTCTTCAGAGTGAAGAGACAGCATAGTTGGCTGGCATGCTGGTTGTCTGAGGGAAACACCTTACTGCTGTTACATCCCTGAGGGCTGGCTGCTAGCCAATATTGGTAGACAGCAGCAATTTACGTCAATATGTACGTCCCCAATATTGGTCATGAGAAAAATAAGAACAAAGACTGACTCAACAACCAATCACAGCAGACTTTGCGTAGGCGGATAAAATTTGCAGATAAATAATCTGAACTTCAATTAAACAGCCACAAAGAGATGAAAACTTAGCAAATCTAGATTGGTTGACCCGAATAAAATAAGAAATCTAGAGAATAGTTCAGCTATAGCACTACATGCAGTCACACACAACCATACAATAGGATGGGATAGGATGACAGTTTTAAAATCTAATGTCACAGGGTATAGGGAGAGATTGATAACAGAAGCTTTGTTTATCAAATCAACTGCAAATACATGTAATAGGAATGATTCATCACCTGTCCCAGATATCTGGAAAATTCTACTACCCCAACGACGACAAATAGGAGAGAACAAAGAAAACTATAAAACTCAAGTCTCAAAGTCGTGTGATTACAATTGATATGATTATGAACAATAAATTTTGTTCGAAACTGTGTCATCCAGTAAATAATACTGTTTCACTGTGTGATATACCTAATAAACAAACTAATATGAGATGAAAGATTAATGTTCAGCGAGAAACCACCAATCAAAGATTGTGTTTGTTTGCTTACAATAATCTATAATAGTGTACAGGTCGGTAACTGCTTGTAGTCTAATCGCTATCCAGCTAGTGTATCGTGTTTGGGTCATTGCGATATGCAAGCCTGACCACGACGTCAAGATAGTAGCTATTGGTCGGGTCGGCTTTCTAGAGGGATTTGATTGATGTCAGTGTAAGATTGTTAATCACAATCTGTGATCTACTTGTTACTACAAATATAAATCAAGAAATAAAAGCAAAATAAAATCTCTGAAGGATATTTTATCTAAGAATGCATATCCTGAGAAGTTCATTAATAAATACTCTAAAGAAAATTAGCCCCTGCAAAACAATCCAAACAGTTCCGAAGAAATCTGTCTATATCAGTTTGCCGTTCAAAGGAGATGATCTACAGGAAGTAGTCAAACGAAGACTCGACAAAGCCATCAAGAGAACTTATTATGCTGCAAAACGTGTTATCCTTAACACCACTAAGCGAGTGCTTCAACAATCTGGGAAAGACCAGTCACCAATCCTCGACACTTCAAACTGCATATATATCAACTCGAGTGTGTTTGTGGAACCAAATAGGCATAGGTCGTACAGAAAGGCGATTGTCTACTCATCGCATGATGGAGCATTTGCCAAAGTGGTTGAAAACAGCTGAATGCAAAGTGCCAAAAACCTCAATAACAAAACATCTTGTGAATTATAGACATAATATCGACGACGTCAAGTCATTCACTATTGTCAGCAGACAAAGAAACAAAAAGATGCTTGCAATTGCAGAGGCTTGTGCAATTCCAGTTTAAAAAGCAGGTCTCTGTGTACAAAAGGAGATGGTCGTCACTCTGAATCTACCATGGTAATACGTTTTACTTATAATTCTACCTCTTATTATTATTATTATTCTTGATTCATTTAAAACTATCCTTTATCAGTAGGATTATCTTAACTCACTTCAACACTATTATTATTATCATTATTATGACATTACTCTGTTTGTAATTCTTGATATGTTCTCTAATGTCTAATTGTTTATCTAAGTGATGTAATTGAAGCGTAATGAAATTTATCTTAATTTTGATCTCTCATACTCTCTCTCCTCTTATCTATTTGAACATGACCTGGAAAACATTCGCACCTGTCTTTCTGCATGACTAATTCAATGTAGTTTGTTTACTTATCAGTTTTATATCTCCCAAAGTAATTTCAAAAGTATATATATCCGTGTATGTAGAGTATTCAGCTGACGAGTTCTACCGAGATTTGATGAATTCATTAAATCCCGCCTTATCAATCTTTATTGCTTGTTTTAAACTCGTGTCGGGAAGTAAATATTTCCAATAGAAGCAAAGTTGAATACTACTCACATCAGCCAGTTGTACACCAGTAGTGTAGCACTATTAATTGATTCACTGGCTACACTACTGATGAACTCTGCCTTAAACAAGAGAAACAATCCTCCGGTGTTTAGGTCACTTCAATCGAGCTGCTTTGTAAGGGTTACTGGTTAATGTAAGTGATACTTGATTACTTGTATCTGCCAACGAATAATATCTAGCATTTTGATTGGACACTATTAACTGGTATGGTGTGTGTGTCTAGTCCTCCTTTCTTTGGCGCGGACTGAATTCTATCAGTCAGTCAGGTTTGCAATGTGGCCACCATTCTAGGGTAGCTCAATATGACGGTGCATTTTGTATTGTTGATGTTAGATGGTTGGAGACAATCGGCAACAGGAAGCCTTGATTTATCTATAGGTTTCGTACTAGTCGGCACTCATCAGTCAGTCAGTCAGCAAGGTGTATCTGCAGTTACGTTGAAGGAACTCATGTCCCTTCTTCTGAGATTCGAACCCGCATCAAACCCAGTGAGTGCTGCAGTCAGAGACCTTATCACTGAGCTATTTGGGTTCTCATTATGTAGCTTTTAATAATAATAATAATTTGCTTCATTCCAAAACAGTACATGTGATACAGAATGGAATTCTCAGCATTTTTACTACAGTATTGCATCCAGTTAGTACATTATCAATAAATTGAATTCTACATAGATTAGATTAAGGAAATCTCAGTTCATTATGACAACAACATACTGGCATGTCGGTAGCAAAGCCAAAGTTGAACAGTGTTTGAAGGTGTTAGAAAAGCAGGTGCTGTCATATTTACTGGCGTAAGCGGAAGAAAGAAACAAAGCATATAAAGAGAGAGAGAGAAGAAGAAAGAAAACATTGTACCTATAAATGATATGAGTTGGAAAGACGAGATCCAGTTGTTTTACTGACTATTTAATGAATTATAGGTGTCACGCCTAATGCTTTCTTTATCACACAGAACACGAGCTAAGTAGGGTATTGTTGAGTTTTTGTACTTGCTGGTGCGAGCATATAGTTTTCTATATAGGCTTCTGGTTTTTCCTGATGAGATGTAAGGGGAGAGTTGTGAGTGAAGAGGGTGGTGTGAGTTAGATAAAATGGATTTGGCCCATTTTTCACATGAGTCCATGTGCCTGTCAACCAGAATATTAACAAGCTGGTTAAGTGGCACGTTGCTAACCCTGCTGACAACATTTAACATCCTGCGTAATATGTTATAGTCTTTCTTCAGTAGCCCGGGAAAAACTAAGGGGAACAATAGAGAATAATAGGCAGAATGCGAGAGTTAACGAATTGTAGGAGTAAGGGTTGGGTTATACCAGAATGTTTTAACTTCTTGATGTAGAAGGTAAGACGGAATATTTTCTTAGAAATCGCCAAGATATGAGACGACCAGGAGAGATCAGCAGATAGAATGACGCCTAGGTATTTGATTTCCGACTTGGTTTCTATTTCAGTGCCATCTATGTTGCACACCTCGTGAGAGCTAACCAGTTTGTTTAGGTCGGATTTATGCCTAAAGGTGAAATTGACTGTTTGGCATTTGGAGGGGTTTAAGGTAAGACCGTTTTCCTTGGACCACTGGCTGATTTCTGATAGAAAGCCATTTAGTTTACAGCAGTCACTTTGACATTTGACAGGTAAAGATACTGTTCGGTCGTCAGCATATTTGACAAAATTGATGTCATTTGAAGATGGTAAGTCATTTAGAAGAAAAAAAAGAGAAGTGGGGAGAGTACAGCACGTTGTGGGACACCGTCTTCAGTGAGTACAGCAGAGGATGATTTACCTTTTTATACGGTGTGCTGCTTTCTGTTTTATTCATTGTTAGTGTATATTCTACATGGCATGTTTTTTTGATGACATGTTTTTATTTATTTACACCCTATTTGTATTCTTAGTGGTTCTATAATGGCACGAATCATTGAAGAGAAATCACGTCAACGTACCACATCAACTGGTAGTCTTGATGGGATGGTGATAACACGTGAGAATCAGCTAGTCGCTTTATCATCATCTGATGCCTATGAAGTTGTTATGGCTGCAGCTGCTGTGTATAGTGCAACGACTGCTGCTCATACTACCACCGCCGGTATGCTGAATACACAACGCGATGAAGGAGAAGACGAAGAAGGGCGACATCAAGGTAAACAATCTGGAGAAGCAGTCGAAGATGACACTGAAACTAGAGGAAAGCTAGAAGATGAAGAAGAGATGAACACCAGTCAACCATTAACAACGACACAGAATCAGAGTCAAGGGGATCATGGGTCATTATCGTTGCATTCATCCTCTTCAGGACAATTAAAGTACATTAGCAATAATAATAATAATCGTAAAAATCTACAAACATTAACAGAAGGATTTCCAATGTCATCATTTGAAGAAGCCACATGTGAATTTCATAGAAATTCACAACCGGTAAGTTTCTTTAACGGGGGGGGGGAATTTATCTATTTGATAGTGTGGAAAATTCCCATATTATGAATTAAAAGTCAATCTGAACGAACAATATTCTTTTTTCATTAATTTCTCCTCTTCAGGTTCTTACAATCATAAGATATAATATTTGTTGTCGTTACAATAAAGGCTAGTTATTCGGCAGATACATTTTTAACGTAGAATAACATAATAGTAGTTATGGGGTGTCAAAATAAATAGTCGTATTTGTGTGACCAAAGTGCTAGTTGGCTGAATTCGATTACAAAGTATTGTAAAATGGGAGACAATGGTGAATAATCATAATGGATTTGTAGAGTGTGGGGTAGGAAAATTGACAAGTCAGTTCAAGGTTATAAAAGGTGTCAGGTGAGTGGCTAGTACAAAGTGGTCTGTGTTAAACAGGAGATAGTAAGACTGCCATGGGAGGTTCATAATGAGATAACGAATATATGAAATGAAACAGGTGGAGGCATATATTGAGAAAAGAGATAATATCACTAATAATAAGTCCGGATAGTATAAACGAAAAATTCGATAGTATTGAGAGAATGTTTGCATGAAGAGCATAAATTATGACGAATAATAATAATCATATTAATAGTAATAATTGTAATAATAAGCAAAGGAAAAAAAGCCAAGAGGGTTAAGGGGAAGGAGCACTCTTGGTGAGAGGAAGAATCATCAATCCAAGTTTGGCCACGGTAGGAACAGCGTCTGGACGTGTTCTTTTTGGATACAAAGTTCCGGTTTAGTCGATCTTATTGCAACAGCTTCAGCTATGTGTAGAAGACGTAAGCGAACTGTACGTGATAACGACTTCGGAATTCGGTATATAACCCTGAAAGATGTGTTGACATCGATATGATGTCCAGTATCGACCAAGTGTGACAGGATCGAGCTTTTTATGCACTTAATTTATTAAATAATCTGAAGAGAAATTATTGAAAAGAATATTCTTTGTTCAGATTGACTTTTAAATTTATCTATTCTTTTCATTTCTTTGGGTTTTGAATGGGATAGGGACAAAGAGCTTCAGGCATTGCGCACTTTCAAGTTGAAGTTGTTAACCTCCCACCCAACTTTCTGTCTTCACCTGGCTGGCTGACTAGCGGGGGTTAAGTGAGCTTTAAAATTGAGTCGGCTGGGAATCGAACCCAGAATCACATGTGTGTTTAGTATGCATTGTGAGCTACTGAGGCAGAATTGATTGTATGCATCATTGAACTGAGTAGGGAGTTGGGGGGGGCGGGCGGTGATTGATGACAGTTGACTGCTATTAGCCATCTCTACCATTGTATTGTTTTTCGTTTCTTGCATAATCTTTGAATATTTCTATTTGAAAGTTTTAAACATTTTTTTCAGTGTCCCTGATCATGATTATACAAAATTGTTTTCTGAGCCTCATCCTTTGGAGGAACATTAAAACTGTTCCCCCGCTTAAATCAGCGAGTGTAAAATTTCGATATTTTGCCATTATTATTCTTCCCTTGGGTTCCAAGTGGAACGTAGCGCCTCAACAACACTTCTCCACTTTGTTCTATTTTCTGCCATACTTTTCAAATAAGTCCAATATTCCTCGAACTCTCTCATCTCTTCCTCACACGATCACCTCCATGTCACCTTCACACTGACTACCCATTCATCGTTCCCCGTTGGGATGCCACTCAGTTGATGGCCTCCTACATTGCGGGTGATATCATTTTGGCGGCCTCCTCTATGTATGCCCGATCTATCCATCTCCACTTTCGCCTACATATTTGTTTAGCAATTGGCTCTTGGTTGATTGGTTTGTTCCCAGGCAGAGTTTCTTGTTGCTAATTCTTCCTGGCCATTTGGTCTTGAATATGGAGCTACCGAGGGTAGTTGTTGATATTAGTCTGCAGTGGCCTGTTGGAAATCCTTACCGTAACACGCTGGCCAAATTTCTGACCCGTATAGAAGAACTGACTGACTTACTTCACATTTGTGTTGAACATCCGAATTTTGTTGTTTATGCTGGCTGAGTGAGTGAAGTGGAGAAGATTTCGAAACTGGTTTCAGTTTGACGATGGTGTATTTCGTTTTGCCTTTCTGATTCTGGCTGGCATACTGGCTTCGACATCTTCATCCATTCCGACTGTCTGTTGTTGAAAGTGTGCTTTCTAGTGGGATAAGTGAAGGCAGTTATCCCTGTGAAATCTCTCTCGTCGATGGTGATTGATGCTGGTTGTTATTGATGTTGCTGTTGATTGTTTGGTTGGTTGTTTATCTTTATCACGTCTGTGTTCTGTGTGTTCACCTGTATTCCTGTCTTCGCAGCTTCTTTAGCCAGTTTGACGTTTTTCGCCTGTTAGTCTTTGAGTTTGTGTGACATTAAGCATAACTCATTCACGTGCGAAATTCAGATCTTCTGGAATCTTCTTATCGGTCGTCCAGTGTATTCCGGACTCTTGGCTCCTCAAAGTCTGACGAGTAATCGAGTTCACCACAATTAAGAATTTTATCCGTGATAATGGGCACGGGGTCTTTTCTCACTCCTGTATTCATTTCGAACGCCTCACTGAGTTTTCCGTTGTGGATCCCCTAATACTTTGCATTGTCACATAGCCAGCTGTTGAATGAGGTTGATAAAGAATTGGGCACTACACTCCGTAGTGTTCAAGTAGTTTCTTAATTACTTCTCGGTGAACGCTGTAGGAGGCCTTTACGAAGTTGAGATGGAGGTTTGACTGCCATTCTGTCCTAAGCTGTGTTCTTTGTTGATGCATAGATTTGGAATTTGATCAGCACATGATTCGCTTGTGGGGCGGAGTTCTGTATCCAGTGTATCCTTTATTCTCTCCAGGATGATGCGACTTGGCGTGGACAAGAGCATGACTCCATGCCAGTTCTTTCAGAGTGAGGCGTAATTCGCTCTTCTTTGGTAGCTTGAAGAGGTAGCCTTTCTTTCAATCGGTAAGTGATTTTCTTCTTTCCAAACCTTTTGCAATAATGGCGTGAGCACATCTTCTGAAGTCTCTGGGTTCGTTTTCAGAGCTTCAGAGTGGGCGATTCCGTCTGGTCCTGCTGCATTCTTGGTTGACTCTCAGTAGCTTGATCGCATTGTTTTGGAGGATTGGTATCCACTGGCAGGCAGTTCTGTGCGTGCTGTTGTTGGTGATGGTATTTCTGGGCGAGTTGAAGGCGATGGCCAATTCAAGAGTCCTTTAAAGTGATCACCACACTGTTTTATTCGTTTCTCCTCCTTGGTGGTAATCAGGTTTCCTTGAACAGCTTTTATTGAATGATCTTTTCCCATATACACGGAGTGACCTAGTTATCTGATATAATATCTGTAGGTCTCTTATACCTGCCTCTGGCCTGCCTGCCTGTTCTTCTTCAGCTGTCGGCCAGTGTGTCGTAGAATTCCGTAAATCTTGATTAAGCCTGTTTAACAGTGTTATTTACGCCTAACCAGTAGACAGTTAATTCGATTTTCTCTCAAACGTTTTTCTATCATATTATTATTATTGTTCCCTTGGGTTCCTAGGGGAACATACGGCTTTAACTACACGTCTCCACTTGCTTCTGTCTTCTGCTGTACTTTTCACCTGCGTCCATGTTAGTCCATACTGTCTCAACTCTTCTTCACACGATCTCCTCCATGTCCTTCCTGGACGTCCCACTCGTCGCTTCCCCTTCGGGTTCCACTCGAGCACTGGCTTGACGCGCGATGTCACTCAGCGGCTTCCTCAGCGAGTGTCCAATCTACCTCCACTTTCTCCTGCATATTTGTTGAGCGATTGGTTCTTGTTTTGTTTGTTCCCATAGTTTCTTGTTGGTTCTTGTTCTTTCCGGCCATCTGATCTTCAGTATAGAGCCAGCGAAGACAGTTGTTGATAAATGTCTGCAACAGGCTGTTGGAAATATTCTTTGTGACTCGCCGCCAAGTTTCTGATCCATCCATATAGAAGAACTGACTGACTTGACGTTTGTATTGAAAATCCGAATTTTGTTGTTGATGCAGGCTGAGTGACGAAGATTTCTACCAGTGAAATTCAACTACTGTCCACCACCTTCTCCTCCTCGGCCTCCTCATTATTGTTATTATCATTCATATAACAATATTTCTCTTGTACTGATTGTCTATATCTATGAATAAAGCAATCAGAAAAGATGTTTGTTCCCCTAACTATCATCAACATCATCCCCACTGCTTTACTACATATATATTATTCATTCATTTCAATCAATAAAGAAGATACATCTATGCATAATATTGAAAACAAAATAAATTGAGACAAGATAAAATCAGAATATAAACCAGCAGAAGAAAGTCGTCATTTCTCGCCTATAGGATCAGATAGATATGCAAGACCATCTGTTTTATTGTCATAATAACACTTCAGTAAATTGAATCATTTTCATAATGTCTAGTTGGATTTTCATCTGACGGAAAAGAAGAAGATGAACATGGCATATGTGTGTGCGTATGTGTGTAGTGTCGTCTCTGCTCTCTTTTCCACAATTGAAATTTCTCAGGTTTTCTGTCATTTTTGAGTGTACATTGGCTTGGTGAAGAGTTTGATCGATTTTGTTATGAAGCGACATCAGTCAGTCATTCAGCCAGCCGGAGAGAGAGACAGAGAGACTGAGAATCATAATGCTCTGAACAACTTGGGATCTGACCTCCATACCACTAGGCGATTGGTTATTCAGTATTCAACGGATTGATTAGTGACGCAATCTCAGCACAGATCCAAAAAGCTCGAGCTGCTTTCGCTAACTTACACCATCTCTGGCATAGGCCTGACATTCGGCTATCAACCAAGTGACATATGTACTGCTCAGCAGTTCGCTCCGTCCTTCTCTATGGCTCTGAAACATGGCCAATACGAGTTGAAGACATGAAAAAGTTGACTGTTTTTGATCATAGATGTCTACGATCTCTTTCTCACGTTAGGTGGCATAATAAGGTAAGTAATGTTGACGTTAGGCGTAGAGTGTTGGGCAAAGGGGGAAAATCAATCGAAGAGGCTATAAAGTTACATAGATTGAGATGGCTAGGTCACGTGCTGCACATGCCTAAACATCGCCTCCCCCCCCGACGGGCAATACTAGCTGATATAGGTGCAGGTTGGTTGGAAAAGAGTAAGTGGTGGCATCAATCCATAAAATCCTTGACAGTTAAACTGAGTCAAGTAGGGAGATGCAGACTTCCGGGTTGGGGCACACCCTCGGGACTCTAGGAATCAATGGCTGGAGACAATAGGTGACATGGCTCAAAATCGTTGTCAATGGCTTATGCAGATGTATTCAGTCTCTGTAATCTTTCATATTCCTCTCTACCATTACTCATTCTGTTTCACTCTTATACTTGTCAAAACTCTATTGATTCTCTTCATCACTCATCTTCTTGTCTACCTTTGTGTGCTATTTGAAACGTGGCAACTCGAACTGATGCACTTCGGTGCCAAGTTCTATGTTGAATCCAGACAGAGAGAGACAAAGGGCTTGCACTTTACACTCTTCGAGGAGGTGGAAATTCACTACTTTTTTATCACTTTGAAACTGAAATTATTATTTGTATCACCATGATAAATGATCTACTGGAGGATATCTCATAAAATTATGATGAAGAAAGCAAGCATAAATGTAGAGACTCAATGTATTAACAATTCACTCAATTACCTAATCAGAATTCAGATGGTTAGAGGTAATTTGGCTCTATTATGGGTGAATTTTATTTTGATAGAGTCTCACAGTGTTATACAGTAATATATACTGATGACGTTTCGAGCACAATTTATTGCTCATAATCATATCAAGTGGCTCTGTTGACCACTTCACTTATTTGGTTTGGAAGTTGCATCAGCCAACCCAACGGGTTGATCGCTGACGAAATCTTAGCACAAATAACAGAAGCCTAGTTTCGCATATGCCAGTTTACGCCATCTCTCTGGCTTAGTAGACGTGATATCCGGCTATCGACCAGCAGGTGGTTGTTGTTGATGTTGGTTGGTTGGTTATCTTCATCACCTCCGTCTTCTCTATATTCACCTGAAGTCCTGTCTTCGCTGCCTGCCTCTTCAACCAGTTTTTTGGTTTTCGCTTGCCTATAAGTCTTCGAGTTTGTGTGACATCTGCGAAATCCAAATCTTCTAGAGTCTTCTTATCAGTCGTCCAGCGTATTCCTGACTCCTCGCCCCCCAACAGTCTGACGCATAATCCAGTCAGTCCACCACAATTTAGAATATCATCGTGGGTGATAATAGGCAGCTGGCAGCTTGTTTTACTACTGTGTGGCTTAATCCTGTACTAATGGCTCCAGACTGTTAGTGATATAGCTCAAAGGCGTTGATTAGTGGCGCAGATGCATTCACTCCTTCCAATAAGGAGTTTGTTGTGCAGCAACTTGACTCGAACGTTTGTATATATGTGCAAGGTTCTATGTTGAACCCAGTCAGTCAGTTAGTTAGTAATCCCTACTGGTCTCCCAATGATTCTCTAATTGATTAAAAATGCCCATTAGAATTTTCAAAAGAATGGAGACGGAAGAAAGAGTACTCTTTTCGATAAATTCATCATCAGGTTCTACAATTATATATACATTATAATGAATGAATGAATTAGTCTTATGAACGACATTAATGTTGTTTAAATAACATCGAATCAATAATAATGATAAACTACAGCTGAACAGCATCAACATAAAATAAGCTGAATGTCAGAAGAATTATGAAAGATAATAGTACAAATTCATGAGTTTATAGTTTCTACTAAAAGCTGGACAGGGTAGTAGTAGGGGCTGGACTTGTTTCTTTTGGACACAGAGTGCTGGTTGTTTGAGGCGAATTGCAACAGCCTCTGCTGTTTGGAGCATGCGGTGCTTCGATGATTTTGGTAGTTTGTTAGGCACCCGGTAGATGATGATGGAGAAGGATTCTTCTACGCTGGCTTTGTGACCTGTTTGCACCAGATGGTCTAATATCGAGCTGTTAATAGTTTTAACTACACCTTTACTTAGCCATAGTGGGAGATGTTCTCGAGCACGAAAAATCAAGTTCCTAGAGCAACAACGACCGATGTAACTCGCTCCACAAGCGCAGTTGAATTGATAGATACAATTTGAAGTGGCTAGTCTAGGTACTTCATCTTTCAGTCGACATAGCACCATCGGTCGTGTAGAGAATAATACGTGTAGTTCGCCAGCATTAGAAGTTCTTTGAACTGATTTTCTTAATTTCTTCGTAATTATCTCGCTTGGTATATCGCCCATAAATTGTAGTCATGTGTTTCTTGATAAATTTATCAGGATGACCATTTTCGATCAAAATATCATATACAATGCCTAATTCATCTTCAGTTACTTCTTCAGAGCATATGGCTGTAACTCTGTGACTGAGGGTCTTCACTAAATTTCTTTTGTAATTGATAGGAACGAAGCTGTGAAAGTGTGTATATTGTCCTATCCAAGTGCTTTTTCTATGCTAATTTCTTTTTATGCTACCGTCTGGTTTTCTTGTAAGTAGGACATTCAGGAAGGGAATTCCGTCTTGGGATTCCTCTTCGCATGTGAATTTCATAGCCGAATGTACTTCATTGAATTCAGTAATTATTGTACTCCTATCAGAACCATTATCACAAAGAATGAAGGTATCATCCATATATCGGCAATAAAATGAGAGCTTACTGATAAGGTTGTTCAGAGGTCCATTTTTTAGCTTACTTGGAAAGAAATCAGCCAGAATAGGACCCAATGGGGAGCCTATCGCCACCCCATCAACTTGCCTGTAAAGCGTGATGTCAAATTTGAAGTTTACATTTATGGTACATCTTAATATCAATTCTTTTAGGATTTCAATATGGATCAAATCTATTATATATTTCTTTATTCATGATAAATAATTTAACAAACGTGTAAAGCATAGCAATATTATTTTTTTATTTATTATACAGGCATGCGTTGCAGTGCTTCCACCCCCGGTACAATTTAGTCGTTCTGCTGTTCGACGGATAGCACGTGCTATACTCCGTAAACTACATGGACAAAACAAGCTGCCATTTTCTCCGTCCACTACATCAATATCAACTAGTTCAAGACAAGTGATAACAACAACATCGAATCGTAATAGTTCTACGACAACTGGAATTGGTGGTGGCGTTGGCGGTGGCGGTGGCAGTGCTGGTGGTGATAGTCGTGTTGAATCTTGTACAAATTTTAATAATATCCCGTATACAGATAGTTCAAAAAATATACAATATGATAAATTGAATCAGGTATATCGTTATGAGTTGTTACATGGTTCATTGGCAACAAATATTTCCCGTCGAAAACGCAGTCTACTCATTTCATCATTGTATAGTGAACTGTCGTCAAGTATTCGAGATAATGAAACGTTGACTGACCTACAACAACAGTTGCAACAACAACAGAACCAGCAACAACAACAACGAATACAACCACGTCATTTATCAATTACAGTGAATCGTTCCATTTCACCACAAGACTCAGTATGTATTGCTTTATTATTTGTTTAATATACCCGATGTTTGTGTGTGTGTGTGTGTTATTTAAACCCAATAGTCAGTTTCAAATGCTTAGTTGATAATGGCTAGCGGTGGCACAGTGGTTAGGGCGCTCGCCGACAATACACAGTCCGGGGTTCGATCCCCGGCCACAGACGCACTCCTTTACCCTGCTAAGCCAGAAATAGAAAGCTGGTAAAGAGGAAAGGTTGGGCATGAAGCTAGCAATTCCATCCTGTTAAAGTAAACACATGTCAAATTAGCATTTAGCTTGAAGCCCTGTGTTCCACTGGGAACGTGAAGGAATATAAGAATGAAGCAGGTAAGATCAATGATGCACACTTTGTCTTGTATGAGACTCGTAGGTTTGCAGAGTAATGTAACTAGATCCTTCCCCAATTATTATTATTATTATTATTATTATTATTATTATTATTATTATTGTTTCCTTTAATTCCTAGAGGAACATAGGGCTTCGGCCGTGCGTCTCCATTGCGTTCGCTTCTCTGCTAGAGTCTTCACCTGGCTCCATGTCTGCCCACACGTTTTCATCTCCCCTTCACATGACCTCCCCCAAGTCACCCTTGCACTGACGACCAACTCGCCTCTTCCCTTTCGGGTTGCACTCGAGCGATGGCTTGTCTAGTGATGTCACTTGATGGTTTGTTTCCTCAGAGTATGGCCATCCAATCCATCTCCATTTCTTCCTGCCTATTTGTTTCACAATCGGTTCCTGCTGAGTTGATTCGCTCCCTGAGATCCCTGTTGCTGATCTCTTCTGGCCGGCCATCTGATCTCGAGTATTGAGCGAAGACAACTGTTAATGAAGGTCTGCAGTTTGTTTGAGATGCTCTTTATGACGCGCCAAGTCTCTGATCCGTATGATCCTTCCTCAATGAATGAGTGATATTCTCATAGACACTTGAATCTAATCTCCTCCTCTTGTGCTATTCAACTAGGCTATGAGAAGTCAACTGTTGTGCAACGGCTGTTAATTTCTTTGCTAATTTTATGTTTATCTCAGGATATCGTTGAAGTGTCGGTAACTAGGAGTTTGCATACTAACAAAAGACCCAATATATTGGTTCAAATTAGTTAAAAGAAATTATTAGTTGACACCCGTTGACTTTTGTGACCCGATTGTCTGGTGGAGTGAAGTGAGAGTTACTAGATTCCAATCCTTTTGGGAGTTTTGCAACGCAAGTACATCCTGCTGACAGATTTCAAATTGAACCAAATGCGTATTCTTGAATCTATTTGTTGGAATTTTGTCGCGAAGTAACATCAGTTGGAGGGATCATGGAGATTAGGGAGTGTTTTATGTCTATTTCGTCCTAGTTGATGACTCTTCAGAACTGTGCACCCATGACCCTGCCAGGGATCGAACACGGAACACGAGGGTTGCAAGACCAAGTTTTGTGACTATTCAACCAATTGAACTGGAATTCAGTCACCCTATATCAACTAGTGATACAGAGCTATCCTCATCAATGCGTGAGATAGGGATCCACATCACTTTACTATGGTGGACTCCACCAGTCACTACGGCTTCAAGATATCCATATAATAGCCAGTGAGTAATCAGTGAACTGACGACTGATATTCAGATTATTGAACTGGTATTGGTTCTGGATTAATTTCATTGAATTCCAGCCAAAATAGATAAACAGTCGATGGACTTGGTCTCAGAATCTGAATGACCGGGGTTCAGCTCCTGTTTGTGTGCGTGTGTGTGGGGCGGAGTGGTCGTGGTTGCTCACGTATGAAGACTCTTGTAGTATAGAACCAAACAGCTGCCCAGTCCTCCCTGCTCTGGATTTCAATAATCTCTCTTCGACTGCTGTTGATTCATGGCCAAACGTGTGACTATTGAAATTATTCTGAAATCCGTACAAGTCCTGCGACCTGAATACTGTTCATTTCATTACTAGCCACCAACAACCATGTGTTAGTCTTCAGGCCATCATTTGAACCCAGTAATAATAATCAACTAACAATAAATCTCAAATTTTTTTAAATAGTGGAGTGCGTCGGTGGCACAGTGGTTAGGACTCTCGCGGACCATGTGCATGGTCCGGGGTTCGATCCCCTGCCGACGCACACCCGATATCTATGGTCGGCCTGCAAAATTTGGGCTACCGATATCCATGCTGAAAACTCCATACGTGTACTGAAAATACGTTGGGGCATCAAGCTGTAATCAAAATTATAAAAATAAAAACAAAAAATATTTGTAGCTCAGATGGATGATTTGCAATTAGTTGTGTTCTCTGAAGAGCTGGTTGGTTTAATTGCGAAGCTTTCGTCATCCCACCCTCACCCCAGACAACATCTTCTGCTCAAATTTTTGCATGAAATGAACTGATTTAAATTCTCCTTCTATGAATGATAAAAATTGTGTCTTCTGGCCACCACCATCTTCGTAACTGACTGGTAGTCGATTTAAATCTGTATTGATCATTAATTTTTTATCGATCTGGAGTTTGAACTTTCTTGTCAAGTGGTTTAATTTTTATTAGTTACAGGATTTCATTATGAGCTGACATTGGTTAGACAATCATCGGAAGACCTGCTAGTACGGATGACTGTTTCGTCCTAGTTTGAGACTCTTCATCAGTACGCATCCACCAACAGGAGGTTCGAACCCAGGAACTTATGGTTACAAGGCTTATGATTCTGATTTTGACGTCTTTATCCATACCGCCTGTAGTTGAAAAGATATTTCCTATATAGTTGAAGGACGTAACCTCTATTAAATCTCTACCGTTGATGGTGATTGGTGGTGGTTGTTGTTGCTGTTGCTGTTGGTTATCTTCATCACATCCTTGTTCTCTATGTTCATTTGGAGTCCTTTCTTCACTGTCTCATCAACCAGTTTGTTTGTTATTGCCTGTAAGTCTTCGAGTTTATGTGACATTGGACATATATCATCAGCGAAATCGAGATCTTTTAGAGTCCTTTTATCGGTGGTATAGTATAGCTGAAGTATTCTCCAGCTAAAGTTCTTTCTGGTTATTATACTCTCGCTCTCTCTTCACGTTACAGTAAAGGCTGAAGACAAGAGACTTGAAAACGACGGAATGTTTATTTGGATTTTTATATCTCTGTGTACTAGAGGAGTTATGCACACCTTATCTGAAAATCGTCATTTATAGAAATCTTCCGTGTTGTACTACTTACTCGCCCGCACCCCACCCCCCTTGTATCGTGTTTCTTTGTCTCATTTTTATATCTTCCATGTTTCACCACAACGCAGTCATTTCGATGTTAAGCCTATTACTCCACTATTTGATATTTTTTGTGTGCTGATGCATGTCTCTTTATATGTATGTACTACTGATGAATCTTGTGAGTAGTACACGTCACACAGTCAATTGCATTGTAATTAACGATATTATGCAATCGAACTGTGTAAGAAGGCCTGGTTAAAATCTCACGAAAACAACTGAACTAATCGTCTGACTAAAATAAGTCACTTTCAGTCATCTTTACATGTACTAATAATAACCGTTATTAATATTGTTATTATTATTTTTAACGAGTTTGACCATGGATTGATATCAGTTAGAGAATCATTGAAAACCAGAAAAAAGTATTGGACAGCTGTTTCATCCTAGTTTGGGAATCATTGCCAGTACGCACCCACCACCAGGCTTCGAACCCAGGACCTTGCAGTTACAAGGCAAGCTAGCTGCCTCGTATACCATTCAGCCACTGGGACCCGATTCAATGGCCAGTTCATGAATTTCAACTTCTAACAAATCGCGATTTAGCGCCACCCCAACCAATGTCGTTGGTGGGACATCCATCCTCACACGTGACATCTGGATGGACCTCAGTGGTCACGACTTCTCACTAAAACTCCAGGAAACTCCATCCTGTAGGCAGTCATTCACTAGCGAGCATCAGATTAATTTTTTCATGGGTTGGTGTATCAGGATTAAACTTGTTGTTAGGAGTTTGACCATGGATTGAAATCAGTTAGACAACCACTGAAAGTCAGAATTCATAGGTCATTGAATCAGCTCCCAGTGGCTGAATGGTATACGAGCTTGCCTTAATAACCGGAAGGTCCTAGGTTCGAACCCCATATGGTGAATGCGTACTGGCGATGATTCCCAAACAAGGATGAAACAGCAGCTGTCCAGTACTCCCTGGTTTTCGATGGTTCTCTAACTGATATCAATCCTTGATCAACTCGTAACAACAAAACTAATTCTTACAAACCAAATTATAGAAAATTAGTCTGATGCTCGCTAGTGACTTTCTACAGGATGGCGTTTCCTGAAGTTCTAGTGAGAAGTCGTGATCAGTGACGTTTATCCAGATGTCGCGTGTGAGGATGGATGTCTCACCGATGACATTGTTTGGTGAGAGTCGCGCTAAATCACGAATTGGTAGAAGTTAGAATTCATGAGCTGGCCATTGAGGAGTTGGGTCCCAGTGGCTGAATAGTATACGAGCTGGCTTACCTTGTAACCGGAAGGTCCTTGGTTCGAACCCTTTGTTGGTGGGTGCGTACTGGCGATGATTCCCAGACTAGGATGAAACAGCTGTCCAATACTCCAGTGCTGGTTTTCAATGGCACCGTGGTCAAACTCGTGAAAACCAAATCTAATCCTTACAAACCAACTCTTAAAAATTATTATTATCATTGTTAATAATCCATAATTTGAATACTGTTCAACCACATTACTACTGATGCTTTCTTATTTTTCTTTGCTTTTTTGATTTTCGAAAAATAGACGCCATTTATAACCCTCCTTCTGTGTATGTGTGTGTTTTTCCTCTTTCAGCAAAGCCGATTGAAACCGCCGACTTCAGATTCTCCGTCTGCCTTGACCTCATTAATCAGTTTAGATTCGTATACAAGTCAAATTATCGCACGTGAATTGAATAGTCTGCTGTTGGATAAAGACACAAAATTAGCTATTATGCATGACATACAACGTGAATTAAGTCGACCAAAATATCGTCCAGACTTTTTCTATGCCGGGAATAAACACAAACTGCCATTGTGTCATGTGCCTGAATATACAGCCTGTAAACAATTTCCATGTGATGTAAGTTAAATACTTTTTGCTTTGCTTTGATTTTACAATTATTATTATTATTATTGGTTTTGTTATTATTGTTATTGGGAAATATACCATTATTATATAATAATCATTTGTTTCGCCAACTCCCCTGACCAAACTCACCTCCTCCCACTAGACCGCTTTCATACAACCCACATGACATGAGTGTTGTTTTTTTTCAACTATTCTGTGTTTATAACTCCATTGTGGATAAGATTTTATTTTGACAAATCGCAATCAGTTAGACCAACTTCTATACCAGGTTTGTCGCGACTCTTTCGTTATTTGTAATTCTTTTAATGATGCATCTCAAGTACTAAAAGTCTCGAACAGCGCCCATCCTAATATTAAGTTTACAATGGAGCATGAAAAAGAGGTGAAGTTCCATTTTCTTGACCTGGGTATCCAACGAGATATAAATGGCAAAATCATAAGATATATACACAGAAAAGAGAAATGGAGGGCGGTTTATCTTAACTTCAAAAGTTTTTGCCCTATAAGTTACAAAAAAGGATTGGTGAGAACATTATTTGATCGTTTAAGGAAGCTGTGTTCAGAGGAAAAGATTGAGGAAGAGCTATCCATTGTGGAGAAATGCCTACGCGACAACGGTTACCCACAAAAGTTCATCGACAAGTATGGGAGACGTCATGTTGAAAAAGTGAAAAGCAGCACAGTAGAGAAAAAGCCTATCTTTCTGCAGTTTGCATTCTAAGGTGATGATACTGCCAGTAGAATAAGATGCAGACTGAACGCTGCCCTGAAAAGAACATATCCAGCCGCCAAGCTTGTATGTGTTTATCAAACAACTAGTTGTTTGAGACAATCAAAAATGGACAAATACCCACCTCATGTTACCTTCAACTGTGTCTACCAATTTACATGTACATGTCAAAGCACATACATCGGAAGAACAGAGAGAAGGGTTATTGTCCGCATTTCTGAACACATACCAAAGAACCTGAGACTGAAAGGTCCACAAGTATTAAACAGTGCAATTGTGCGTCATCTATTAGACACTTGTCATAATGTAGACAACTTGAAGTCATTCAAAATAATCAACAAGCAAAAGAAACCTAGCTTGCTACGCTTTGCTGAAGCAATTGCTATCAGACGACTTAAAGCAAATCTATGTACGCAGAAAGAGACAGTGGTGAATCTTGCACTGCCCTGGTGACAACAAAATATACAACTTGTATGAGTCATCCTTTTTCTTGTTTAGAAAACTCTACTCTCTCATCTAAACATGACTCACCCTATCTTGTTCTTTTCTCTTCCTTTTTTTCTATTGGCTATTAGATAAAGCATTTTCTTTAGTTACGTAATCTACCTTTTTGTTATGCTCTGTCTAGCTAAACCTTGTTTCTATACACATATATATATATATATATATGCAACTCTGTTTTTGTTTCCAAGCCTAATTGCCTAATTATCCTATAAATATTTATAAACTGTCAAATATTGATCACAGTTCATTTGAATTATTCTATAAATAGTCAGTGTTTGTAACTCCTAATTAGTTAAGTCATTCCGGACTAACGTTACTTTTACTTCCTACCAATTACTCCTTGTGATCGTGGAAAAGTATGTTCAAATCTGTAATGTAATTCATATTTTTATCGCTCAGGTTGTAACCAGTTGAGAAGAATCCTCGAAATAATAAAAGATGAGCTCATATTATCCTGGTACAATTGTTGTTCTTGCTTCGTTCAAGTTTGTCAATGGGAAGAATTGCATGAAGTCTTTAAAATCACACAGTGTTTGTTATACAGTAATATTAATTGATGACTACGTTTCGAGCACAAACTATTGCCACTTATAATCATCGCATCAAGTCACTCACACAACGTTTTACTCATCCTAAACTTAGTCATAGGACAAAACTGACCATTGAGGAAATTATTTTAGGAATTCAGTTATGCTGCCTAACATCTATTGTGTTTAAATTCCAAGGCAAAATATATAGACAAACAGAAGGTGTAACAATGCGACGGATCCCCAGTATCCCCTTTGGTAGCAGATATCATTTTGGACAGCTGGGAAAATATTGCTCTTAATACATTTAATCCTACTCCAAAGATAATATGGTGGAGGTATGTGGATGACAATTCCACTGTGTAAAAAATAGAACATCTCTCTCTCAAGCTTCTTGAAACATATAAACTCAGTAGTAGAGGGAATAAAATTCACATTTGAACCGGAAACTGAACAAAGAGAATTAGCCATGATGTTAGATTGTAAAATCAAACGAACAGAAGAAGAATACCTGGTCGGTATTAAATAACTATCCTATAAAATTACTTATGAATATCACAAAAGGTAAAAAGCAAAATAAAAGTAATGGGGAAACTAATAATGACAACATAAATAAGTACGAATAAAAGACATCTACAGTTCTACCATATTAGGAGGGGATATCTGAGGCACTACGTAGGATTCTCAACAAAGCAGGAATTAGGGTGGTGGCATTCATACTCACTCAGAGACAAGTTGTGTAGGTTAAAGGACCCTGTTGGTTGACCGAATTAGACAAGATAATATAATTTACAAAATACCTTGCAATGACTGTGAGTGAGGTCAACTACATAGGTGAGTCAAATTAGTAGATCGGGGGTAGTCAGATTGTCGGAACATAAGAATTTAGCTAAGGTTAGAATGATTGATCGCACCCTTGAAGTAATTTAGAAAACAGCTCAGCGATTGTACTGCATACATTAATACACAACCACAGAATACGGTGAGTGGGAGAGGGTTTAAAATCTAAAAAGTAATATAGGTAGGTGGAGGGAGAGAGAAATAGGTTGATTACTGAATCCTGCCTGATTTATCGAGTCTACACCCAACACATGCAACAGAAATGACTCAATGCAAATACCAGAGATATGGAAGATATTATTACCACCAGTCAGTCAAATCAGAGGAGGATAATAAATGATCTTAAAATCCTATTTCAATTCAAGCATATCACAACATTCTAACAAGTTACTTATTATGACTATAAAAACACTCGTCTTATTTCTCATCTGATTGTAATTTATTGATAACACTCATACTATTATTTCTGAATGTACGTTATCTCATAATGAATTTTATTCCAGTATCTAATCGATTCCACACATGTCTATAAATGAAGGGAAAAGTTGTGTGAGTAACTTGATATGGTTATGAGCAGTAATAATTTGTGCTCGAAACGTGGTCATCAGTAAATATTACTGTATAACATCACTGTGTGATTTATCAAAATAAAATCTTATCCATAATGGAATTATACTCTACCATCAGAGTTCCCAAGTTTTATACTCATATGGTTCGTTTAGTCTATCATCTTATTTTATAATTATTCCCGTTGTGTTTCGGGTGGAGTATAAGGAAGGTTTCAACAGTGCACATGTACATTTTGATTTGCTATTCTCTGCAGTCATTTTTTCAGCTGGCTGCTTATACAAGTTTGACTGTGGAAAGCGTTGACTGCAAAGTAGTTTGGTGGAAACCTACTTCAACACCACATAAGGTAGTGACCTAAATCCTCGTCAACTACATTCAACAGCAGCTATATGACAAATGACATGTGCCAGCTGTTTCATTGAAGCGTTTGGAGTGAGTACAGGAGTAAAAGATGGCTTCTTACTTTCCCCTGATGGCATTCTCAATTGTGGTGGACTGGGTCATACGTCAGACTGTAGGTATTTTTTTATTCCTTCACGTTCTCAGTGGGACATAGGGCTTCAAGCTAGAGACTTGAAGTTTCGGTAGCAGTGGTGTCTATTTTTACGGGATAGGGTTGCTAGCCTCATGCCCACCCTTCCCTCTTTACCAGTCTAATTACTGGCTTAGCGAGGTAAGGGAGTGCGTCAGTGGCCGGGGATCGAACCTCCGATCACCTGCGTGGTCGGTGAGCCTCCTTACCGTTGTCCCACCGACTCACCGACTGTAGGTTTGGAGCCAGAGAATAAGAATACATTGGACTGAAAGGAGTACTTTTGACGGATGATTTCTTATTTGAATAAAGTGAGAACTACAGTTTTTGCAGAATAAAATGGCACCATCATTATTTATTTCGTTGCCTTCTCATCAGCTACTTAAAGGCTAAAGTCATTATTAAATATATATACAGAAACAATTCTAACATACTTGCACAGAGTTCATTTTAAACAAAAATCAATCAATCAGTATATGCATACAGTAATAATGTATTATTATTATTGTTTCTTTGGGTTCCTAGTGAAACACAGGGTTTCAACTACACGTCTCCACTTGCTTCTGTCTTCTGCTGTGCCTTTCACCTGCATCCATGTTAATCCATACTGTTCCAATTCCTCTTCTAACGATCTCCTCCATGTCACCCTCGGACGTTCCACTCGCCGCTTCCCTTTCAGGTTCCACCCGAGCACTGGCCTGACGCGCGATGTTACCCAGCGGCTTCCTCATCGAGTGTCCAATTCATCTCCACTTTCTCCTGCATATTTGTTGAGCGATTGACTCTTGTTTTGTTTGTTCCCATGGTTTCTTGTTGGTTCTTGTTCTTTCCGGCCATCTGATCTTAAGTATAGAACGAAGACAGTTGTTGTTGATAAAGGTCTGCAACAGGCTGTTGGAAATAATTTTTGTGACACGCTGTCAAGTTTCTGATCCGTGTAGAAGAAGTGAATGACTTGACGTTTGTATTGAAAGTCCGAATTTTGTTGTTGATGCAGGCTGAGTGACAGCGGAAGATTTCCAGATTAGTTTCAGGTCGATGAATGTGTTTCTCGCCTTCCCGATTATCGATTTGACATCCTCATCTGTTCTTCGTGTAGTTGAGACAATGCTCCTCAGATATGTGGATGAATGAAGTAACCTCCTCTTTCAAATCCCTCCTTATGATGGTGATTGGCGCTGGATGTTGCTGTTGTTGGTTGGTTGGTTATTTTCATAACCTCCGTCTTGTCTATGTTCACCTGGAGTCCTGTCTTTGCTGCTTCTTCGACCAGTTTGTCGGTTTTCGC